ACGAGTCATGGTAGTAATCGTGCTTCGGAGATTCTTAAGAGTCTAAATTCGAAATGGTTGAATAACAACAAAAGTGGAGATAGGGTGGATTATTCACAGGATGTGTATTTGAATGATATTCTGAGGAAATCAAAGGGGAAACTTTATGTTCCCGAACAGATATTCGTAGAGGAATTATCTGAAGAAGCCGAATTCGATAGGGAGTTCCAGTTGTTGCCAAAAATGAGCTTTGAAAATCTCCAGAAGTATATAGAGACCGATATGATAAAGTTTTTGACTTTCAAAGATGAAGCTGAGGTTGCTTATGGACATAAGGATCTCATCGTGGAGCTGAAAGAGATTCCGGGAGACAAGAATTTGCGGAGGACTAAGTGGTCAATAAAGCTTGATGATATTCAAGTACAAACTGTTCTAAATGAGTATAATGGACCCAAATATGAGATAGAGACACAAACGATGACATGGGTGGGAAAGCTCCCACAGTATCCAAATCCAGTCGCCTCATCAATATCCAGCAGGGTAATGGTGGAACTTGGTGCAGCGACAGCTGCAATTGCAGCAGCTGCGGTGGTTGTTGGTGGCTTTTTAGCTTCAGCTGTATTTGCAGCAACCGGTTTCGTGTATGTAGGGACCACATATGTCATATGGCCCATGGCAAAATCACTGCTTAGCGTTCCTTTAGAAGTTGTTGTTGGTGTTTTGGAAAGAATGGGTGATGCGATATTAGACATGTTCTTCTATGGCGGGATTTCCTCAAAGTTGAATGAAATGTATCGACTTGGGGTTTTTTCATCTGCCTTTTCAATAGCTAGACCCATATTGTTGGTAGGTTTATTGATGGTTGTTCTTGTTCGTTTCACTCTTTCTAGAAGGCCTAAGAATTTCAGGAAATGGGTAAGATTAATGATCTAAATCCTAAGATACCCTTTTTTCTACAGTGTATGCATATGCTTCATAATCTTGAAATTCGTTTTCTTGAAAACAAATTTGCAGGATATATGGCAAGGAATTGAATTTTCACAGTCTAAACCACAAGCTCGAGTTGATGTTAGTTTTACTTAATGTTCAATCACATTATTTCAAAGATCAAATTCTGGATATGTGTGTTATTCATTTCTTATTCTCTTTTAACCATTTGTTTAGGGTTCAACTGGAGTTACATTTAGCGATGTGGCAGGTATTGAAATAGCAGTCGAAGAGCTCCAAGAGGTAAAAATCTTTCTTTTTCTTCTAAAAGTTATGAATGATCCTGAAATTAGTTCTATTTGTTATAAACCAATTATGATTATGAGATTATCCCTCATAAAATCTTTGACTTTTTAGCTAGTCAAATACTTGAAGAATCCAGAACTATTTGACAAGATGGGGATAAAACCACCTCATGGTGTACTACTAGAGGGCCCTCCAGGATGTGGCAAGGTAGGTTATTATAAGCTATTTCATACTCTTTATGAGAAATAGGATTAATTATCTTTATGTAAAATGCCATTCAGACCCTTGTGGCTAAAGCTATAGCTGGAGAAGCTGGTGTCCCATTTTACCAAATGGCTGGATCAGAATTTGTTGAAGTGTTAGTTGGTGTTGGATCTGCTCGAATTAGGGATTTATTCAAAAGAGCAAAAGTCAACAGACCATCTGTTATATTTATTGATGAAATTGATGCATTAGCTACAAGGTATTCATTCATGTCCTTATTGTGTTTTTCTATTTATTTATTAAAGAAAAAGATTCGGTAGATTAATATTTTCTTTTTGCAATAATTAGGCGTCAAGGAATATTTAGTGACAAAACAGATGATCTTTACAATGCTGCTACACAAGAAAGAGAAACTACATTGAACCAATTGTTGATAGAATTGGATGGATTTGATACAGGAAAAGGTGTTATTTTTTTGGGTGCTACAAATCGTAAGGATTTGTTAGATCCTGCACTTTTGAGGCCTGGTAGATTTGATCGAAAGGTTGGATCTTTGCTATTTGAGATAATTACATAAATACCCTCTTGAAAATACTCCATGTTGCAACTTAGAACATGTTTCTTGAAGTTTTTATTTTTATTTTTTTTAGATAAGAATTCGTCCTCCTAATGCAAAAGGGCGATTGGAAATATTGCAAGTGCATGCACGCAAAGTGAAGTTGTCAGAATCTGTTGATTTATCTGTTTTTGCCCAAAATCTCCCTGGTATGTGCTTTGTTGATCTCTCCCCCTTTTTAGTAAGTTTACACAAATGAACCTTGTGCTTTCTTTTTTACAATGTTGACTCCAAAATTTGAAACATTTTTCAGTTTTAGTCCTTATTTCAAGGTTTCATATTAATTTTGGTCACTACAACCTTGAAATAAGGATCAACATTGAAAAAAAGTTCCAATCTTGCACTAAACATGGTATAAATCAGAAAGCACAGGGACCATTTTCGTAATTTACTCTAAACATTGACTCACATAACAGTTGAAAGTAATTGTATAATGTGATGTCCATGAGTTTTAGTATGATTGACATTTGATTTTGATGTTTCAAGAAGTGATAGATAATAAGAAGAAAGATTTGTGTGTTTAATGGTTTGTTTTTATCTGAAAAAAAAAAAGTAAATTACGAAATTACCCTTGCAGGATGGAGTGGTGCAAGATTGGCTCAGCTCCTCCAAGAGGCTGCTCTTGTAGCTGTGAGAAACAAACATGAGTCGATCCTTCAGTCAGATGTTGGTGAAGCCGTTGACCGTTTGACCGTGGGCCCCAAACGAGTTGCATTAGATTTGGGTCAACAAGGTCAACGCCGTCGAGCCACAACTGAAGTGGGGACCGCTTTGACTTCCCATCTTTTAAGGAGATTTGAGAATGCAAATGTTGAACCCTGTGATCGCATCTCAATTCATCCTCGTGGCCAGGTAAAAAATAAATTCAAGAAATAGCAACCTACTTTCACTTTCAATTTTTATTTTTATTTTTTTTATTAAAGTAATGAGTTTTAACTAATGATTTTCTTTTTTTCTTGATTGATAAATGATAATGCATGCAGACACTATCACAAGTTGTATTCAATCGACTCGATGATGAAAAGTATTTATTTGAACGTCGACCACAGTTGCTTCACCGGCTTCAGGTCAAATTATCAAAATGTGAAATTACCATTTTGCCCCTAATGATGCTTACTACTACTGACATGATTACATGAACAGGTCTTACTTGGAGGGAGAGCTGCTGAAGAGGTGATATTTGGAAGGGATACATCCAAGGCATCAGTAGAGTACCTTGCAGATGCAACTTGGCTCGCCCGTAAAATCATCACAATGTAAATTTACGTATTTGCCCTTTTATTGGGTCGGATAGAATAAAGGGTATTTTAGACTTTTGACATGTTTGGTTTTTATCAGATGGAACATGGAGAACCCGATGGTTATACATGGGGAGCCACCTCCATGGAGAAGGGAGCCTAAATTTGTGGGCCCACGTCTAGACTTTGAAGATTCTTTATATGAACATTATGATCTAATTGAGCCATCAATTAATTTCAAAATGGATGATGAAATTGCAAAAAGAACAGAAGATTTGATGTCCAACATGTATGGAAAAACCGTTGCTTTACTCAGGCGCCACCATACTGCTTTACTCAAAACCGTAAAGGTAATTTTGACTTTGAGGTTCATGTTGATTATGATTAATGATATGAAAAAGAAAAAGAAACAAGGGACTTAAATTGTTGTTTGTTGAATTGTTTCAGGTTCTTCTTTGTCAAATGGATATGACAGGGGATGAAATAGACTTAATTCTTGATGAATACCCGCCAAATACTCCAACAAGTCGGTTACTTGAGGAAGGTGATCCAGGGAGCCTTTCCTTCTTTAAACAAAAGAAAGGAGAAGATCTTGAGATGGAGTATAGCATCTTGAGTCAATGACACGTGTTCATGGTTCCCCAATACAAAAATTGCATTCATATTTTTCTTCAAGTTTGTAGCAACAAAGGTTTTTATTTTTATTTTTATTTTTATGGGAGAGAGGCTTTCGGGGTTTAGATTGTTGTATAGAAAGTTTTGTTGAAATCTTGGAAGAATCGTTAGAATGATTGTTTGTACGTTGGTTCTAAAATGCACAAGATTATCCAAGATTTTATTTTTTGTTGAATTAGGTCAAAACTATTTTCTGGTAATTGTGTATTTTATAAGATAATTGTTATTGTTAATGACCAAATGAGTATTAATCTGTAGTTGCTAATTAGTTATTCAAAGAATAATAATATTTGTTATAATAAACGGATATCCGCCAAAACATTACTTTTGGCAAATGCATATCACAAAATAGCCTCAATTTTCAAGAAAAGTTTTAATGACCACCGAATTCCAAATTAGGATTTTCGAGTTCGATTAAGTTTTTTACATCAAAATTATTATTATTTTTTAATTTCGAGCTCCTTTGACTTAATAACATGTGTAATACACTTCTTTTTTCTCATAACATCTCATCTTTGATTTTGACATATGTCATAATCCACTAAATAAGAGGATAAATATGAATATTTAGTAGGAGATTGAACCTCTCTTCCACGTATTATGAGATGGAAGAGGTGGAAATAAAAGAATAACTAAAATGGAATGTCGTGACAAGTGTGTTAGGAAAAAAAGAGTACGTCCACCTCAAAATAATAGTAATCACCTATCTTTCATTTGAACATGTAGTATGCTATAGAGTTGGAGTTGAAAGTATAATGGTTAGAATTGTTTATCTTTACATAACTTAATATCTTATGTGTGTTTGGATATGTATTATGAAATTGATTATTTGATAATTGCGATTTAAATTGCAATAAACAGTTTAACCTTATTCGGATTAACAAGATTGTTATCGTGAATCATGATTATAGTGCTTATTATATTCATATTGTATACCACTAACTCAACCGGGCCTTAAAAACCCGAGTCTTTTTCCGAGTCGGGTCAAGAACTGATATCGGGTTCAAAACCGATCGTGCATGTCTAGACAGAGCCAATATTTCCACAGGGGTGGGGTACGATTAAGATTTGGGGGTGCTTTTACTTTTAGAATCGAAAAACAGAGTAAACTTCTCCTGTCCACTCTTACGTAAATCTTCAACTTTGATGAGAGATGAAGAAACCCATCATCCAAGATCCATCTACAGATGTCAAAATTCACCCTAATAACCTCAAATTGTTCAACAAAAAAGATGAAAAAGATAGCTTTTTAAAGCTCTCGTTGCCTTTATTCATCACATTTTGGCTCCCTTTTATGATTTCATTCTCTACATTTGGCCTCAATCACGGCAATGGAGGTATCTCACAGGCAATTCCAATAAATTATCGATTTTGATAAGAAAATATTTGTTATTTTCGAATTATGTTACATACCCATGTATTATTTCTTGGCTTTGTGAATCCTCATTGTTAAATCTTTGCATAAAGTTATGATTTTTAGGGCTTGTTTACGTAATATTATTAGAATTTGTCATACCCTTTTGGAAACCATCATTCTATTTATTTAATTTCATGAACTTGAGGTGCCTTGTATCGTATGTTTTAGAAAAAGATTTGTCGTAATATCTTTTGACATTGATTTTCTTTGCATGAATTGATGCATCTATGAGGATGATCTTTAGGGTATTTGGACGTTCATGTAATATTTTATAAAAATATATGCGGTTTTCGAGTTAAGTTACACACCCATAATTTGTTTCTTGATTCTATGAACTCCCATTGTTAAATTCTTGCATAAAGTTACGATCTTTAAGGTCTGTTCATGTAATATTTTGAGAATCTGTGATACCCCATTAGATAGTCCCTTTATGTTCTTCATTTTTACAGGGAATGTAGGTGTTTTTAGCAAGAACTTCACCAACTTGAGCTCATATCCATACCTCGAAGATCAAGGTCGAAATCATACAGATAGGGTTCTTTTAGAGTTCAATATCTCTAGGGTTCATAACGATTCAACGTCTTACGAGGAAGAAACCGATGGTAATCCTCTTGAAGAAACAACTTCAGCAGACGAAGTATTCTGGAAAGTTTTAGGTTATTCCTCATTCGTCTGTGAACGACAAATTCAAGACCTTTATCTCGAAAACAGACAAGAAGAGGTCAAATCAAGCCGAACCCATCTAACATATCGTGATTTGAAAGAGGTCACCGGTGCACCAAGCGGGTTAACCAACATCACCCACCGGCTGGAGCCCGATGGAACCAAGTACAACTACGCGGCGGCGTCAAAGGGCGCGAAGGTGGTGGCGCACGATAAGGAAGCGAAAGGTGCAAGCAACATTTTGGGGGAAGATCACGATATGTATTTGAGAAACCCGTGTTCTGTTCCTGAGAAATTCGTCGTCATCGAGCTTGCAGAGGAGACTTTAATTGATGCAATTACGATCGCGAATTTTGAACACCATTCTTCGAATTTTAAGAAATTTGAATTGGCGGGAAGTTTGGTTTTTCCGGCGGAATCGTGGTATGAGCTCGGAACTTTTGAGGCGGAAAACGTGAAACATAAACAATACTTTAAATTACCTGAACCCAAATGGGCGAGATATGTTATGTTGCGATTGATTACTCATTATGGGTCGGAATTTTACTGCACGCTTAGTGTTTTTCAAGCATTTGGAGTCGATGCGATTGAGAAGATGCTTGAAGATCTGATCATGGCGTCACCGGAATCGATGGAGAGAAAGTTATCAAACCCTAATCTGAAAACCGATGGTGAATTGAAGAATATGATCGAAGGTGTTGATGATGGACTGAAAGTTCCGGAAACGGTGGCGAAAGGTAATGGGCGGATTCATGGTGATGCGGTTCTCAAGATTTTGATGCAAAAAGTTCGATTGTTGGAGAATAACTTTTTGTTGTTGGAGGAGGAGATTAACGGGGTGAACATGAGACATAGTGATGTTGTTCCACAGCTTGAGAAAGAAATCGCGAAATATTCGGGGCTTGTGGAGGAAACAAGATCGGAAATTGAGAATCTTTTTCCATGGAAAGAGATTTTGGTTAGTTGTTTCTCTAAATAAAAGTTTGTCAAGTAGACCTGTCTTTATATGTGTCTTTTGCGTACAGTTCAGTTTTAGTTGATCCCACATAATCTGATCAAATTGAACCGTAAAAGAGATTTTGGTTAGTTGTTTCTCTAAATAAAAGTTTGTCAAGTAGACCTAACTGAACTGTCTTTGTACGTGTCTTTGGCGTACAGACGCCAAAGACAGTTCAGTTTCAGTTGGTCCCACATAATCTGATCAAATTGAACCGTGTTAACACGGTTCAATTGGTCTTTAAAAATCAAAAAATCAACTGAAACTGATCAAGCTAAACTGGTTTTTGAATCTTTATCATTTAAGGATCGTGGTTAACGATTTCAGGAGAAAGAAATTGCGGATTTGGAGTCGTGGAAGGCTTCAGTGTCATTCCTTTTGGAATCAGTAGTCAAAGAAAACATCATGCTTAGGTAATGAAAATTTAAAACTCAATTTTAAGCTTGCTTTTTAAACCCTTTGGTAGTATGAAAGAAGTAAAATACGCATACATAAAGTGTTGTGACCATATTTCATATCTCATTATATACTTGAGAAATGTCCCTTGCATCTTCGGTAATTTGCAAGAAATCGCAACCTATTTTACCCTTTTTATTGTTGATCCATAATAGCAGTGTACTTACATTCTTTAACGATATAAGTACTCTGCTATTATGGATAAAAATAAAGTACACTACCATATTGGTAACAAGACTAAAAGGATTGTTGCTAAATGGTGCAAAACTTTGCCAACTTTTTTGATAGGCAAGAACTTGAGAAGGTTGTAAGTGATGAAGAAAGCCTGGATAAAACTGAGCATGCTTTGTTGTCTGCAAGTGTTTCTTTCACCATTGTTGTCACCTTAAAGATTCTTTCAGATCGATTTTCAAACTCCTCCGAGGACTTACATCACCGGAAAACACGCAAGGCAGATTGGGGATGGAAGTTTCTGGTTTTGACTTGCGTTATTACAACAATTGTTACTTTGACTTTTTGTTGAGTCTTTTTATTGATAACCTCATGCCATTGTACATTAATCTTTAGCATTAGCCATTTTTGCAGTTCAAGATTGTTTCACAGATGATTTATTTTTATTTTTTATAAAGATTTGATTTTTGTAGCTCTTTTTAGAAACTGGGTTTTGGTTCTCTAATTTTAAGAAAAAAAGTAGTTCTAAGTTCTACTAAATTTGTATCATCCCAAGTTTAAACAATAAATTAACATATATTCATTGTAGTTAAAGTAACAAACTCATCTAATAACATGTAAATTAACTTGAAGCAAAAAAATAGTAATGATTCATAGATTTACACAATATCTATTTATTTTAATCTAAAGCTTATTTCTCCAAAACATGCACCCAACCATACCAAAAACAACGTTAATTTCTTGTGTTATGGCGGCACCTGTACCCTGCATTTTTCTTGGTTCCTTATAACATAGTTTAATATTTAATGAGAGTTTTGACTTAAATGACCATGAAAGTCTCAATTTTAATTTTAGCTCGATTTAGCCACTAAATATCTCACCATGTTAAATATTCTACTTTTAGTTTTTATTTCAAGGTTTTACTTTAGTTTTCATCTGGTGGACAGACATTTGTTGAATATTCTATTGCTTCCGTGGATTTCCACTTCTAATCATGATCCATAAGAGTGTAACTAATTTTATTATCCTCACACACAAGTACAACAATGGGATTGTTGTTAATTAGTAATGCTATTATAACAGGGTTGTGCTATAAGTATCCCTCTTAACCAATTTTACCCCCTAACATCAATCAAATTAACTTTTTACTTTTGATTTGACATTTTTTATTTATTTATTTATTTTTCCTTTTTGTTTTTGATTTTTTTCCTTTTATTTTATATTTTAATATTATTACTATTAAATTCGGATGACATTTAAAATTCGGTAAACATTATTAATTCGCACGACATTATTAAAATTCGAACGACTTTTTTGTCCGTAATTAAAATATAAAAAAAAATATTTAAAAACCGATTTTATATAGCTGTTTGAATTTATAATTCTTCTGAATGTTAAAATTTTGTGGCGAAATTTATAATAATAATAATAAGAATAATCAAAAATATAATAATAATAATAATAATAATAATTAAAAGAAATAAAAAAAAACAAAAAACAAAATAGAAAAAAAACAAAAAAAACAACAAAAGACAAAAAATCAAATCAAGGGGGTGGAATTGGAAAAGGAAGGGGATATTTATAGAAAACCCCTTATAACATCGATCACAGTTCAATCATATCAGCTTGTCATCGAGTGTTTCAACTGGTGTGTCAGGTTTGTAATTATCAAAATGCTTTTATGGCACTAAATGATATATATATATATATATATATATATATATATAGATATATATATATATATATATATAAAAGTTGATTCGTACACAATAATTTTTCTCTATACATAATAATTTATGTTTTAAAATGTTGTATAATACAACTTTATAAAACACAAATTATAGTGTATGGTAAAAAGCAGTTGAGTTGTGTACGAATCACTTCCTATAACCAAAAAAGAATGTTTTTTATAAAATTTACAGAAAATTTGATCATATAATATGTGTTAGATGAAATGTTTTACCACACAAGACCACATTTGCATACGTCTTTTTAGAGTACATTCGTAACTCATTGTTACATTCTTATCAACCAACTATTAACTGTTCTATCCTCCTTTGAAGCACGAGTTTTAACCTCAAGGTAAAATATTGCCACCGATGAAAAGATGTGATGATTTCCAACTCATAATGCACACATCTTTTCACCAAGCACATTGTCATCTTCTAACTTCAAAAAAACATAAAAAAACAAAGTGCTTTCCCAGCTTGAACAATTTTCAGGCTATGTATACATTTGCCACAAGCCCACAATGCCTACTTTCCCATACAACACCTAATTCACAAGATTCCATATTTAGAGGAACGTTTGTAATGTACAACCTAGATGATAATTTTTTGGACAATTTTGAGTTAGTGTTATTATGGTTTTCATTCCCTCCATGACCATCAATGGTAGCATAAGAGACAAAGGAAAAACATTGTACCAGTTAAGCCATCAACCGCCACAAAGAACCACTATTCAACGGAATGACTATAAATAACGGGAATTGTCAAGAAAGTCTTAATATTTTCGGAAAAGTTACGGTTAAGTCCCAAAAAAAATTTGAACATAAAAAGTTCCGATTATCTTATTTTGGCTCAAATTAACAAAAAATTCATTTTTTTTTCTTTTAATAGGAATGACATATTTTTGTGTAAAATAAATAATTGAGATTTTTCTGTTCAAATTTTTGACTAAAACGTAACTTTTCTAAAAATAATGAGACTTTTATGAAAATTTTCCTGTAAATAATAAGTTTTTTTTTAAAGGTGTCATTACCATATTTTCCTCAATGTCCATTTCCAAACTTAAATTGATTATTTTGATAAGTTTCGCTTGACTTGAACGAACTTAAGTCAAATATTCAAGTTCGAATAACTCGATGACAAAAGCTTACTAGTTTAGTCCAACTAAAAAGGAATATTGAAGGTTTAATATAACATTTCAAAACACCTTAGGGGCTCCAAGCGACAAAAACTCAAAGAGTGATATCTGTTTGACGATCAAAATTATATTATTAGTAAACCCGTTAAAAAATGCCAAAAAGAACGCTCCAGTCAAAATCCTAGGGTTTGGAGTCTGGGCGGAGCACTCGATTAGTCAATTAAAGGTACGATTCTTTACTCTATCTCTTAATCGTGGTTACAAAATAGGATTTTTGTTTGTAATGCCAGGTTAATTTCAATTTTGTTTTGATTAGCTGATCATTTTTGAAAATTTGGATCAGTTTGCTATTGTGCGTAAAGCAGTGATGGATGTGGACAGATTAGAGCTTGTAAAAGCTCAATTGCAACCATTTTTACGTCAAGGGGAGGAATATGTTCGTCGTGTTGAAGAATTTGCTCGTGAGATCCCTCCAATTCAGATCTATATTGCAGTCGGAGCCGTGTTCATCACTACCTTTTTAATCTACTTAAGTAATTTCACTACTCTCTCCTTCCATCAGATCGTTTTCGTTGCTAGTAATTTTCTAGTTTGTGGATATGCTTATTCCAAAATACGAACACCTGTAGTATATTTTGCTTAGTTTTTACTATTAAACTGTTGGATGTTTGTACACATGTTCGTTTAAGTGCTTGATGATGTTTATTAGCTTTCATGTTAACTAACATTAGGAAATCTACACTTTATCTCTCCTTCATTCATGTAAGTTTGAGGTATTTAAAGGTTATTAGACACAAAATCTTACAACTAGTCTTTTTCAAGGATTGATATTTCAATCTTAACATAATGTAGCAGTTGTTTGCATATCTACATGGTTATTCCTTATAAAATATACCTCATTTCTTGATTCTCTTTGCAGTACGCCTTTTCAAGCATACAATATCCAACACCATTGTACTCACAGGGCTTAGTGGAGGTGGGAAAACTGTTCTTTTTTACCAGGTAAATAAATAATCACAGCAAAAAACTATTTAAGATACATTTTATTCAAATCATATTGATGCCAACAACGTTTATTTTTTTAACAAAAACACAATCTTGATACAGCTTCGTGATGGATCTTCTCATCAAGGCACTGTCACATCAATGGAACCCAATGAGGGTCTTTTTGTCCTCAATTCTGAGACCTCCAAGGTAAACAAACTACTTTCTTTACACTTTAACAAACCTAAACGAGGGCAAATTCGTAATATGTTGTTTTGCAGAAAGGCAAGATTAAGGCAGTTCACCTTGTTGATGTTCCTGGCCACTCACGTTTGCGCCCTAAATTGGACGAATATGTCCCTCGAGCAGCTGGCTTAGTATTTGTTGTGGATGCTGTGGAATTCTTGCCCAATTGTCGTGCTGTTTCAGAGTAATTTATTTTTTTAATTATGATTTAAAACTTAATCCCATATGTGTTTTTTTATGGATATTAATCTTAACATATATTGTTTTGTTTGCAAAAAGGTATCTCTATGACATTTTAACAAAATCGAGTGTTGTCAAGAGGAAAATTCCACTTCTTATCCTTTGCAACAAGGTGGATAAAGTCACTGCACATACAAAAGAGTTCATCCGAAAACAACTGGAGAAAGAAATGTATGTTCTTCCCTCTATCCAGACAACACTTGTTTTGTCTGTGTTGTAAATGAAAAGGGTAAAACAGTAATTTACTCACATTCTTGAATGACTTTGCAGTGATAAGCTTCGGACATCAAGAAAAGCTGTATCAGATGCAGATATATCTAATGAATTCACACTCGGAATCCCAGGGGAACCCTTTTCATTCTCTCACTGTGTAAACAAAGTCACTGTTGCTGAGGCTTCTGCATTAACTGGCGAGATTCAACCCTTGGAGCACTTCATTAGGGAACGTGTCAAGCCTTGATCTTTCACTCAATTCCATTCCATTTGTCACAACGGAATTAGATAAATAGCAACGGAATCGGAATTTGAAGAGATGTTTCCCTTTCTTTTTTCTTTTCTTTTTTGGAAATTGTTGTTTAGGACATGTTAATATTCTAAAGACGTAAATTTGCATATTGTGGGGTGTGTTTAACAATTCTGAGATTGATTTTGACTTTTCTTTTCATATCAATGCTAACCAATTTACACTTGATGCAACTAATTTCTAGAGATATGTAATCTATGTACATTATCAATTTTTCATACAACACCTACACATTAACAAAATAGAAAATTTCCCTATTCACCCCTCTGAGCTACCATATCCATCATGTTCATTGGATAACACATCTTCGTATGCAATCCAGACCACACATTCTCTGCCAAAATCTCATTCACAGCAGATGTGGGATGAAATTGATCCCACCATAGATGATCTGAAGCATTCTCACAAGCCATTCCAGGTGATATACACATGATCCAACCATTATATCGTCCTAAACCACAGCATGCAGAATTCATCACGCTAAACCCTAAAACAAAAATCATCAAGATTTAGAATTTTAGATCTTTGATTTCCGAATAGTTTTGGAGTCAAAATTGTGTTACCGTATTGGTCAAAATTCTTCATGATGTCCATGGAACCAAGATATGCATCGCAGAAGATGATGTTGGAATTGTTGAGTTCTTTACGAAGCTCTCCCCACTGTGTATCTTAGAACAAAGTTGAATTCCATTATCATGTTGTTTATCTCCTTCACACATTCCCCATTTGTGCTGTTGTATTGCCATAGGTAGTATGGGGCACACCCGATTGGAGCTAGTCCCATCACCACCACTCGCCTCACTTTCGCATTGTACAAATTCTACACCGCAAACTACAACATTAATCACCATAAAGCTGTAACAGAACAAAACAGGTTGTACTGCGTCTGACACGCATTGGACTTGGGATCAAGACTAATGTCAATGACACAAAAATTATAACTTTTTGTCACGCCAAAAAAGGCGAAACAAGATGGGATATGGACTCACTCTCGATCTCTCATATGTGCAAAAGACATAAATACCCTCCTCATCCTCATCATTGAAAATAGCCCCAAAGAAAACTTGTCCAGTCCTATCCTGAATAACAAATGCAGCCCAAGGCTGCATTTCTTACACAAAACATGACTAGGCTAGACAAACTTTGTTTACTATTTTTAATGATAAAGATGAGAAGGGTATTTACGTCTTTTGTACAGATGAGAGATCAAGAGCAAATCCATGTCCCATCTTGTTCCGCCTTTTTTGGCGTGACAAAAAGTTATAATTTTTGTGTCATTGACATTAGTCTTGATCCCAGTCCAATGCACGTCAGACACAGTACAACCTTATTGTTCTGTGTAAGAAATGGAATGGAGGGTTGTTGTAACCTTTATCTCTTGTTTCATTGATTGGGCTAAAAACTGTGTAAATTTCCATGAGACGTATTTGGATTGTACATCGGATACATTGGGCAAATAGTAATGTATGTAATCATTAGTCCCGATTGAAATGTAAAAAATGGAGTTTGTGATGAGACTTGATGCTGCAGCCTCACCCATTGTTAGTATGAACCGTTGGAAGGTATCCATAACCTGTTGAATTTGCTGAGTGAAAGATATGTGTTGACCCTGTAAATTATAAAACGGTATTTTTCTTGAATCTATGTATAAAACAAAACAGCAAAAAGCCAGAAAATTTATAAAAATTGGAACTTGGAATACATAAATTGATAAAAACTTTTACCAGTTCTGATCCACTGGAGAAGATGATTCCAGCACCAGCAGATGCATAATTCAACCCGCGTTTCATGTCATTAACAGAACCACTTTGACCTAAGAAGCTTGGGACAAATGGGAGGCCAAGATGTAATGCTGTTTGGGAAGATGAGAAAAATGGTATTGATCAAGAAAGTTTCAAGAAACATGAGATATTTTGTTTGATGTGAATTGATATATGTGACACAATAAGGAAGAAAAACAAGATTATTCAAGAAAGTAAATCAGTGAAGCTTTTCATCGAACACCTGATCTGCATCCACTAAATTAGCTTTGATTATCTTTTAAATTTCTAAGAACTTGAAACCCGAGATAGAAGAAAAAGTATAAACATTCAGGAATCGCATTTTTTTGCCAAACAAATAATCCAAGAAAATCAACGATCGTGCTACGATAAACATGAATCAGATTCTTCTACTGTTACAGAAAACTTGAATGAATAATAAGAGCATCAAAACGCACAAATAAAATGGAACCAAATAACAACCGTATTCTCAGCTAACATAAAAGTTTAAGTAAAAAGTAGTTAATTACCAAGATAATCGACAGGGATTCTTCCGTTGGAGAATCTTCCGGTGGGTTGATGGGTATCAAAGTCACGTCCATAAGGAAGACGATCTGCTCGTGCAAATGTTCCAAGAAAATTATTGGTCCCACAATCAACAGAAGAGTCACCAATTACGAACAGCGCCGGAACCGGAGAAGGAGGCAGTGGAGGTGGTGGAGGGGGAAGAAATGGAGACGGTGGTGGTGGTGGTGGTGGAGGAGGAGGAGGAGGAGGAGAAATCGAACTATTTCTTGATCTGGTATAAAGATCAGAGCTATTTCCTGGTCTAGTATAAAGATCTTGGGGAACATGGACAACTCCAACTGGTTTAAAATTGAAAAACATGGTGTGGGTAAGAATCAAGAGGGGTATGAATCGAAAAGAGGAGGAAGACTCCATTGATGAATGCGAGCTTTGTGACAGACAAAAATGGCGGGGTACAGTCGTCCAGAGAGTTGAACTTAACAGTTAACGGAAATATGTGAAGAAAATTGAAATACGGGCCAATATTTGGACTTCTGCCCTCTTGTAATGTGTTCTGATATAAGGCCCAATTAAATATTGGCTACAAATTTTCCTAACGAATGTATTCCATTAAACTTATATCTATGGCTAGATTTGATCCCTAAAATATATATATATATATATATATATATATATATATAGATATATATTATATATATATATAGATATATATTTGCATATTATTATATATATATTAAAGTTATGAAGAAAAGGAATAGTGAACTGGCCATTTTTTTGGCAGAAATGGTCCCTGGGTCGTTTTCTGGCTTTTTTGACGTTATGTATATTCTTTAGGGTATTTTTTGACATTATGTATATTCTTTATGTATACGTGTTAGCAATCTAAGGCGTCATTATCTTCCCCCAGTGTCTCTCTCATCCGGTATCTTCTACAATGTTCCCGATTTTCTTTCGCTCCTCTTTGAAATATCTTCCGTCCTTCCTGAACTCTCTATTACTATCCACAATTCACGTTTAGAGTCGGAGAACGCCTGCAAGCAGACGAACGAAAGAGAGGGAAAAGTGAAGGCATCGGTCGATTTGCAAAGCCGAGATGGTCTCCAACTTCGAGGTCGAACTAGGCGAATTACAAATTCCCTTAGTAATACCCACCTGCTTTCTTTTGCTGTCTTCAACTGTGTTTCTAGAGCCGATTCCATCATCTTTCCTTTCCTACTCTACTGCTTTTTCCCTCCTTTTGTTCTTCGTTTTTTTTATCTCACCCTCTCTCCTCTGTTATTTGTTTAGTGGAGAATCGAAGGGTTCCAACTTTAGCGATCGTTTGTAACAGTGTCGACCAGTGGCGGCATAGGCGCAGGGGCCAGGGAGTTTTAGTTATCCCAGCCACCTGACGACATCGAAGAACAAGGAAGCATCAACTTTTCCCATTGATCTGCAACCTTCGCCAGGTGAAAGGTACCAATCGGTCCAAACCTCACATGAAAGCTTACGGGTTTTTTTTTTTTTTTTTTTTTTGCCAAATACATGTTTACACTTTGTATCCCAACAATACAATTCAGTTATACTTACCCACATGATTATGAGATATGAAAGTAACTTTCATAATGTACACCAACTGTTCGATAAAATGCCTGTAAACACCAAAAACATTGATGCAGCTCTATTTGACAGGTTTTTCATTTATATCGAGACTGATGTTGTTTGGTTGCCTTATTGCATCAACAAATTGTTTACCACCGCTTACGGTATAAATGGTTGCCTTATTCGCCTGTAATGGATTCTACTGATTGGACTGATTCTTCAAGCTACGCCCAACCTTCTGTCTTCGCCTTTTGTTCTTTGTTCTGAGGACACTTGCAGTCCATTAAAGGTATGATTTTGTATACTACCTATTTAATCATTTGGAGAATATTGGTGGTTCTGTTTTAATAATTTCTTATTAGTGACAACAGCAAAGTAGGAAATGTTTAAAAAGCATAAATCAATCGCATGAGAGTATCCAACAACTTATTTTATGAGAGGGGTATATGTGGAAAGTTTAATCTGTAGAAAATGATAAAAAAAATTACGAAAAAAGAAATCAGTAGGACAGTTGAAATAGCAATAACAGGATGACCAATCCTTCAAATAGTAAACTTTTCATAGAGAACTACAACAGTAAAATTCAATATAAAAAAGGAATAAATTATGACGTGGTTAATCAAATGGAAGCAGTAGGATACAAAACACAGGGGTAAATTAGGAAAGGAAAAAAAATTAGCATATTAAGTGGATGTTATTTTTCTGTAATGGAAACAGTATAATACAAAACACAGGAGTAAATTAGGAAAGATCCAAAATTTCAATCAAACCGGGGTCCGCCAGTAAATGACGCAGGTAAGAATGGAGATGATTACTTTCAAAAGGCACATCAAATACCTGCTTGAAACGGCTGTCATAGGGTCTAATTTTGTATGAATTCACCCCTTTGAGAATGTGGCATAAAAGGATATTTGTTTTATCATACCTACTACACTTTGTTATAAACTTAATAAATTTAGTTATTGCAGCCTTTTGCGAGAACCCTTAAATAATATCTTTACCTCTTATTTGGACCACCCATGAAAAAAACCAACAGGGACTTGACTCCACTTTTGATGCATCAGAAGTCTAGATGGCATACCGGAAAACAACACTAAAACAGTATTTGATTCTGAATGTCTGATTTTGTAAAAAAATTATACATAACATTTTATTTTCATCTTTTATTTTCTTTATTTACTTTTTTTTAAAATATGCCAAATAAATATACGTTTAATAACCAACTTTACCAGTGTACTTTCTTTCTTTAGAGCAGGCAAACATCAAAGATTGTATTTTGATTTTAGTCGTTGAAAAAAATAGCACTATCTTAGATCATTGTTCCATCCGCTGCTTAATCACTACCCCCTATAATTTTGGTTATAGGTTCTCTTTATATGTTTATTTCTGAAGTATTGTGGCCTTCTTTTAAATAACAAATGGTGGTGGTTTTATGGTTATTGTTGAAGGATTTCAAGAACAAACAGAGAAGCTGCACTAGGGAAGCCAATTTCAGGAGAAGAGGGAAGAGGTACAGACAAGAAATGTCTACATATATGTTATCACAATGTAAATATATATTTTAATACATTCACATAATAATCATAAGAGTAGAGTGAGTGAGCAAACCAATGACTGAAAAACTACATTTTTTTAACAGATACACACAAAATCTCCAAATAGACAAATAATTCACTGCAATTATTAGATTCATAATATAACAGTTTAGCACATACTAATCTCCATTTTTCTTGACGTTTATTTGTTTTGGTTAGGATATTTAAGGCCCAATTTTTTATTTTTATTTTTAATCTCTTGAAATGTGTTCGATCTTGCTAGACTTGATAGCTGATGTGTCTTCTTTTAAGTGCATTTTCATAAACCGGGGTCCGCCAGTAAACGACGCAGGTAAACAGTACTGTGGATTGCCATAGATCCTGGATATTGAAAGCTCGTCTTGATAATGACTGTACATAAACCGGGGTCCGCCAGTAAACGACGCAGGTAAGAAGACACGTTGGTTGCTATTTCTTGCTGTTAGCAAGATGATATACTGATTTTTAATTTTTAATCATTTTTAGGAAGAGCATATTGTATTGTGTTAGCCGAGAGAGTTGTGCTAAATCTTATGCAAAGAATGAGTTGCATTGCCACACTCACAAAGGTAACAATAACATCTCCATAACTTTATAAAAATTAATAATACTACATAATAATCTATAACCATTAAAAAAAATATTAGTTTTTTTTAACTGTTATAGGCGATGGCAGAAGCTGCAAACCCTGCATGCATATTGGAAACAACAAAAACTGTACTAGCATTATGTTTGGAGGATAACTGGGCGGTGTTCTTTTACTTTTTTACCCTTTGATCTTATTTACATAAACCCTAATTTTTTATATGATCTTTTTACTAACACGCCAACACGTATTGATAGGTCGAGGGAAGAATCACATAATGGGTTTATTTGATATGGTGATGATAAAAGACAATCATATCTCCATATCCGGAGGTGTCTCAAATTCCCTTAAATTTGTTGACCTTTATTTGATCAACAACAATCTTCAAATGGGAGTTGATGTAATTTCAATTTCAATTTCAGTGAGTTTGTTTGTTTCTTTCCCTTTTAATTCAAAGCCAATTTTTTTTATTGAATAGGTGGAGACAATGACATCTGAGGAAATAACCAATCGAGCATCTTTCTCTGTTTAGTGTCGCACCGATTCTGATTTATTTTTAGCTAGATGAGATTGAAATTCTGCCCCCACAGAGCGGGGGTAACCCTCTAGTTATGTTATTAAACTTATAATGGACCTGTCTATTAAATTATTTTCGTTAGTTTTTAACAGATCTCCATTAAATCAGTTATTCAAAATTACACAAACGGTTTATATGTTTTCAAGTTCTTTCGTGTTTGGTTTAGAAAATCTTTAGTAGTAAAAAAACATATGTGTAAGCTTCCATTTAATAGCAGATAAAAAACTAAAAATTTATCATCATTGTTAATACATTTATGAACTCTGTAAGGGAGGAGGGAGTCGTTCCCTCCCAACCCACCGAACCCACTGCCGCATCAATTTTTCTCTTTTATTTTTCTTCATCTTTCTGAACCCACAACACACGGAATCCTATCTTTTTGAACCCACTCAACCTACTCAATCAAAAAAAATACAAAACAACTAAGGTACAAGTTTTAAAACACATGGTACAAGAGTAAATAAGAAAGAGAAAGTAGAGAGAAATGATGAAGTGGGTTAGTGAAACCAATCAACCCACTCGTTGAAGCGGGAGTGGTACCGCCGATAACTCTATTGCTAATTAAGATTTTACATTTGATTGTTTTGTATTTTTTTTTAATTGAGTGGGTTGAGTGAGTTCAAAAAGATAGGATTTCCGTGTTTTGTGGGTTCGGAAAGATGAAGAAAAATAATAGAGAAAAAGTGATGTGGCAGTGGGTTCAGTGGGTTGGGAGGGAATGACTCCCTCCTCCCTAAGCTAAAACCATTACATGGTTTTTTAAGTGACAATATTTTGGAGTATTGACTTAGATATTGTTGTTATGCAATTTGTTTTTTAAGACTATTAAATATTTATTAATATATAAGAAGACAAATGATATTAACTAGACAAATTTATGGACACTAAGGAATATAAAATTAAGAACTATGGCCTATGGGAGTCAAATAACAAAATATCTCCATTGAAGAATATATCGATAATGACTAAGGGCTGCATCGAGTTGCAATGACCGAATGATTCATCCTTTAGAGCACAACTTTAAAGGAGAAAACCAAATGATAGAAAAATAGTAACGATGCGTTGTGGAAAATAAGTGAACCTTCATACCTTGGTT